ACTGTACGTTTAGCAAATGGCAAAAATAGTACATTTCGTGTTATGTAAATTTTGCCACAATTTTTTAAAAAATGATTGAGTAAATTAATGAGCATCAGAGCCCGTGCTAACCCACGTCATCCCACTGCACAGCACACACCCTGCATCCCACACGTGCTCATTCTTCCTCGTATGGCACTAACCCACAGTGAAATGTCCTCATTTATTTGAGACCATATGTCTAAATGGGACTCTTTCTGTCTCAGTTTTTGTTTTTGTTTCTGTTTTTTCTTTTGATGGCTGGCCAGTATGTCTTCGTTTTGACAGATGTCTCCCACACTTGGTGCCAACTGCTTCCCCACATTTCCCAGCAGAAGAGATTATCATAATAAAGTTTTATGGATTCCACTCAAGAGTGACTCCTACAAGGGGCAAGGCAACCTCAGCAGAAAACAACAGGAGACACAGATTCGGATGCAGAAGCTAAGGGAACAGTCATGGCCTATGAGTGGAAGGGGAGCTTTCTCATGAGCGAGTCAGCCTTGAACAACGCCCCAGGCAGAAGGAGTTAAGACTGCATCTGTCCTTAACTCTCCTTCCTGTCCCCCATTCCCTCTGCAATGCAGATGCAGACTCTGGAATAAGAAGTTCATGTAACTAAAAGTGACCAAAGCACTTTTTTATTTTCTGAGGGGAGACCAAAAAAGCTGAACAGACCTGCTTAGATTGCTCAACTAGTCCACACGGCATGTTTGAACAGACAGGGTTAGGGAGCAGAGGACAATAAAGCTCTTTATCAGTTTCCCACTGATTGTTCAACAGATGACTCTTTGCTTGCTTGTGGTCTGTCACGTACACACAGTCGACTCTAAGCCCCAGGAGAGTGAGAACCTGATCTCTATGGTTCCCTGCCTGGCACACACACTCAGTACTGCCCAGTTGAGTGAACAAATGTTCTAGAACCCAGAAACTATGAAAAGAGAATCAGTGTTGTCACTGTTTAAGTCCCTAAGTTTTGGGGGATGTGCGTGCAGCAGTAAGTAGCTGGTACAGTGGCTGGCACCCAGGCCATTCCCCATCCACAGGGCAGAGCTCCTAGCCTTTCACTTCTCTGTTGCACTGCAAGTGGTCTTGGGGGCATTTCTCCAGGCTGTCCTGCTCTAACCTGCTCTAACCTCACGCAAACACGGAGGGATCTAGGGGAACAGCATAGGGGACACTCCCCAAGGAAGAAAAAGGGAGGATAAACATGAACACCTAACAGAGCAGGAGGGCTCTGACTGCATCTCAAGAACACGTTTACTCTTTTCATTGTTCACAAGATAGCAGGACACAGACAGCACAGCACAGCACAGACATATCAGAAAGGGCAGAAGTAGCAGTGGTCATGTAGGGAATGCAGAAACACCTTTAGGAGTGTAGGAAACTATTTGTATAACTTTTATTCATATTTATTTTTGTCTTCTCTTTTAAATGTTTGTATGCTTTATAATGCGCATTAAATCAATGCATATATAATTAATAAATGTAAAGTATACACATATTCAGGTATTTGCTCAAAGATTTTTTTAATGATAGGAAGGGCTACACAATCGTAGACAATTAGAGGTCACAGGAGAATGAGGCCTGGCCTGGGGGGCCTGGGCACCCTCAGGCTGGGAGCACTGGGCCCACTAGAAGCACATTACTTTATCCACTGACTGACCGGACAGGTCTTTCCTGGGTCCTTCTGCTCCACCACGGTATAGCTGCAGGTCTCTTTGTTGAAGGTTTTCCAGCACTTGGTTGTGTCATAGCCCACAGGTGTAGTAATACTGTCATTGAGACAAGACCAAGTCGTGTTAGAAGCAAAAGGATGCCCAGCACCCCACCCTACCCCCAACCCCCAGGACCAGCTCTGTGAAGAAGCAGCCCTCACTCCAGCTGGCTGGAGTACCCCTCACCAACTCCCCTTGGCTAGCAACCCCAAAGTGTGGCCTCCAGGAACCTGGACCTGTCTATACCATAGAGTCACAAAGACCATCCCTCATGTGGATCCTACATTCCATCCTGCAGGCTCAGAAGGACAGTGGTAAGTGCTGACAGGCCCAGGGGCAGGTCTGGTCTACTCTGGAGCTGGGCAGCTTGTTCCAGCCTGGCTCCTCCAGCCCTCCCTGTCCAGGAAGTGGTCAGCAGTACTGCTGCTAGAATGTGGGAAAGGAACAGCTGTCCCAGCCATGGCATGGGGGCGTGTGAGGAGAGGAGCTGTCTCAACCAACAGGAGCAATGAGTCACTCCAGGCCCAGGCCATGTAGCCTATGGAGAAGCTGATGAAAACCAGAGACCACCTCCCCAGGAAAATCCACCTAAACATTCAGCGGTAAAAACAATTTTACGGCTCATTGCCCCCTTAAAGCCCATCCATAGGCCCAAAGTGTGCACAAAGCAGGCATTCCCTGTACCTTTTCTGACAATACTTCCTTCCAAAGGTGACTTGACTTTTATTTTAACTAAAGATGACATTTTGATCGACTTCCCAAAGCCAGCCTGAGCCAGTATGGTTCTTCTATCCTTACTGCCTGGCTCCCAGGACACCAGAATTTGCAGCCCTTGGTGGTTCAAGAAAAGAAAATGGCAAGAAGCCCTGGTCACAGCCAGTGAGGCCAAGGCGCTGGCACTGACCACAGAGGACTCTCACAGCGCAACCCCATGGGAATATGGTGCTGCGAGGGAAAGCAAACTCTGGAATCGTGCCTTCAGCACCACGGTTCTGGTTTCATTCTTTCTAAGACTGAGGAATGGTTAAGTTACAATACATAATATTATGAAGAGTTCGGATGAGATGGCATGGTACTAATGGTAGAATATTAAGTGGAAAAATCCAACCACAAAAATGCAATATTAAGTTTGATATCCACTATGTAAAAGAAAAAAGGGGTAGGAAAGAGAAAGAAATGATGATAAAATGTTAACAGTTAATACCTTCAGACACTGGAATTGTAAGTAAGGGTTTTTTTTCTTTTTCTCATATACTTTCCAATAATTCTATAATTAATATGTTTTACTTTGAAAATTTGGGAAAACATAATTTAAAAGCTTTCAATGTTTAAAAGTGGTTGTTTGCTGGTGGGAACATAAAATGGTGCAGCCGCTATCAAAAAGGGCTTGGCAGTTCCCCAAAAAGTTAAACAGAGTTACCATTGACCCAGCAATTCTACTCTTAAGTATATACCCCAAAAGAATCGAAAGCAGGACTCAGACACACTTGCATGCCAATGTTCACGGCAGCATTATTTACTATAACCAAAAGGTGCAAGCAACCCGAGTGTTCATCAACACACGAATGGGTGAGCAGAATGGGGTATATGACACCGTGGAATACTATTCAGACATAGAAAGTAAGGAAGTGCTGATACATGCTGCAATAGGGATGAACCTTGAAAACATGCTGAGTGAAACAGCCAGACACAAAAAGACAAACACTGTGTAATTCTATTGATATGAAATATCTAGAATAGGCAAATTCACAGAGACAGAAAGTAGATTAGAAGCGAATATGGGCTGGGGAGTGGGGGAATAGGAGTTATTGTTTAATGGATACAGAGTTTCAGTTTGGGATCACTAAAAA